TCAATAAAAATCATAAGTTAATAAATGTAACATCATTATGATGTTAATTTAAATATGACTGAAAAATTTCAAATGAAACTTGAATACTATAAAGACTAAAATTTTAGAAAAACCTTGAATTATATAAATTAAGACAAATTATTTTTATAATATAATATAATAATAAATTTTTATACTACATAAGTCATGAATAAATAAAGGGTTGAAGAAAATAAAAGTTACACAACTGGGAAGCAGATCAAAACCCACCCTTCTAGTGGGTTTAGAAGATTCTTAAATAATAAGGATTCAGTCCATCCCTGCCAATTAGAAACCCGCCAACCTAACACTAATATTAGTAATCATTTCATTCCTTCATTCCAATACCCATCAACCAAACACCCCCTTAATAATATTACACAATTACATCAAATTTAAAGCAAAATTACTTGGGCGATTTTACTTTTCGAGTCTGTCATATTCTTGGAGTAATTAGGAAATAAGGGATAGTTCTGGGTTGCCAGGTATGGCAAGGTCGACGGGCGGAATCACAGTTCAAAGGGGAAACGACAGTAAGGGGAGCACTTGAGGGGGAAAGTTCTAGAGAAGAGAGAGAAAGAGGGATAACCGACAAAGAGAAAAAAACTGTATTATTGCTTAATGATGATTACAAGAGTCATTATTGGCATTTAATACCAATCAGCCGAAATGGCAAAGATTTACAAAAATAGTAATCTAATGATTAAAGTAATTATTAAGTATGATTCTGTCTCTTTGCTAATTGCACCGACATCTTTAACTTCAAGAAATGCCAATTAAAGCCGTGGATCATTACAATACTTCCTCCATAGAAAGACCTTGTCCTCAAGGTCTAAAAGCTGGAAACTTACTGAGAATAAACGTCTGATCTTCCCATCAGTAATCCTCTTTATCAAAAACTTTCCACTTAGACAACCATTGATTAACTGCTTGGCCATTTCTCATGATGAACCGACGCTGCAAAACTTCTTCAGGCTATAATGATTACCTTCAATCATTTCTAGTTATGGAAGAACTGAAATAGAAGATGGTTGGGAACTTTGTGTCTTTTCAGCTGAGAGACATGGAATACAGGGTGAATTCGACATTGAGGAGGAATCTGAGTGTTTACACAACTTCTCCCACTTTTTCTAGCACCTGAAAATGACCATAGTATCTTGATGACAGCTTCGAATAAGATTTAATGGCCACCGTTGACTGTTTATATGGCTGAAGCTTGAGATATAACCAATCATTGATAGCAAACTCACGTTCAGAACGATGCTGATCCGCGAAGTGCTTCATCCTATTCTGTGCCTTCAGCATGTTCTCTTGCAACAACTCTGTGATGGCTGCCCTTGACTGAACTTCAGGATTGAGCTGCAGGGATCACAATACCAGTGAATGGTCCCAGAGTAAATATCTGTGGTTTTTCTCCATACAAGGCCTCAAAGGGAGTCATTTTGATGGCTGAGTGATATGAGGTGTTGTACCACCATTCAGCTAATGAAATCCACTTGCTCCAAGATAGAGGCTTGTCACAGCAGAAGCATCTAAGGTAGGATTCCAGGCATTGATTGACTCTTTCACTCTAACCATTAGTTTGTGGATGGTATGATGTACTGAGTTTGATCTTCACACCCAACATCTTGAACAATTTTTGCCAAAAGTGGCTGGTGAAAACTCTATCTCTGTCTAAAATGATGCCATCAGGCAACCATGGAGTCTAAATATTTCCTTAAGAAAGATGTCAGCCATTCTCAAAGTAGTAATTGGTGGCTCTAATGGAGAAATGCCCAAACTTGGTCAGTCTGTCTACAATAACCAAAAAGGTGTTGAACTTCTCAGAAGGTGGAAGCTTGACAGTAAAATCCATTGAGATTCTCTTCCAGAATGTTGAGGAATTAGATTTGGATGCAATAACCCTAGATGTTTCTCCACATCTTCCTTCATTCCTGGCAAGAAAAAAATTGCCCTCAATCTTTGTAAGGTGACATTCTATCCAGAATGGCCTCCTAACGGTGACGTGTGCAATGCTTCCAATATAGATATCCTCAACTCAATCTGGTTACCAATGTAGATCCCACCTTTCTTCCTTAAAATACCATTAACATATTGATACTCAGGATGGGAAGAAGGATTCATGGGTAACACCTGCAATGATGTCCAAAACTACTGAATCCTGCTGATAACTTGATACCACATCACCGATCCATTGAGGAAACACTGAAGTTAAAGAATAACTATGATTTTCAGCTGGAATGTCAGAAAGTTCAACCCTGGACAAAGCATCAGCTGCTTTCTTATCCTTCCCATTTCTATACTGTATTTTATAATCATAGCCCAATAACTTGGTAAGCAATTTATGTTGATTGGAATGGATCACCTTTTGCTCGAACAAATAGTTCAGAGACTAGTGATCAGTCCTTGTGATAAACTTATCACCAAGGAGATAATGCCGCCACTTTGTTATCGCAAGAACCAAAGCCATCAGTTACTTGTCATATACAGAAAGTCCTTTATGTTGTTCGTTGAATGCTTTACTTAGAAAAGCCAATGGTCGACCTTGTTGCATTAGCACTGCTCCCACTCCAACATCACTAGCATCCGTTTCCACTATAAATGGATGAGAGAAGTCCAGCATTTTCAATACAAGAGCTTTAGTCATCAGATTTTTTCTTTTCCTGGAATGAGTCTTGTGCTTCTTTGTTCTATACAAAAGAATTCTTTCTCAAAAGGTTGTCAGGGGTTTGCAAATCACACCATACCCCTTGATGAACCTCATGTAATACCCAGTGACTCCCAAAAACCCTCTCAAAGCCTTGATATTAACAGGAGTATGCCAATTCATAATGCTGGAAACCTTCTGTGGATCCATGCTTACGCCTTGAGCAGAAATGATGTGACCCAGGCATTCAACTGATCCTTGTGCAATACTAAACTTGCTTTTCTTAGCAAACAACTGATGTTGTTTGAAAACCTTCAATACTTCTTCCAGATGGAGCAAATGCGGTTCCATAGTACGGCTGTAAACCAAAATATCATCAAAGAAAACAAGCACAAACTTCCTGAGCAAAGCTTGAAAAACTTGGTTCATTAAAGACAGAAATGTTAATGGTGCATTGGTGAGTCCAAAAGGTATCGCTAGGAATTCATAGTGTCCATGGTGTGTTTGAAAACCATTTTTCTGGACATCCTTCGTACTGACCAATATCTGATGATAACTAGCCTGCAAATCAAGTTTGGAAAAAATAGTGGATCCTTGCAACTCATCCAACAATTCTCCAATTATAGGAATAGGGAACTTGTCCTCAACTGTCATCTCATTAAGTTTCCTGTAGTCTACACACATTCACCAAGTTCCATCCTTCTTCTTCACTAAGATGACTTGTGAAGCATAAGGACTCTTGCTGGGTTGGGCAATTCCTTGCGTCAATAGATCTTCAACTTGTTTCTCTATCTCAGTCTTGTAAGCATGGGGACATCTGTAAGGTAGCATCTTAAAAGGTTGAGAACCAGATTTGAACACTATTTGATGGTCAACAACTCTGCTTGGTGGCAAAGAATTAGGGCTGTCAAACACTTCACAATATTTGTCCTGCAGTTTACTAATAGCTTCTGGTAGAGGATATTCCACCATTGACAGTTGCTCACTACTCAGAGCCTGCAATTGTATTGCCATCAACCTTGACTTCCTTTCTTGAGTTAAGGTTTGGCACTCCTTATCTCTCAGTAACTTCATACTATCAATGTTCCCTGTACCATGCAGTATGTATTGACTGCCATACTTGCTGAGTCTCACATGCTTGTCATCATATTCAAATGTAATGGGACTATAGTGTTTCATCCAATCCACACCAAGCACTAAATCATAACCACCCAACCTCATAATCTTCAACTCATAGTTGAATTTGTAGTCCTTAATCTTCCAATGCAAGTTGGGACACACCAGATTTCAAGATACCTTAGGCCCATACCAACAGTGATAGTGAATGCATTAGCCTCCTTGTAAGGAAGATTGAGATCTCTTACCAATAACTTGTCAACAAAACTGTCAGTGCTGCCTGTATCTATCAAAATTCTGATAATCCTCCCCTCAAATTTTCCCAGCAACAATGTGGTCTGCTTGACACTATCCACAGAAATGACATGCATAGATCCTTCCTCTATAGTAAGATCATTTAAATCTATTCCTTCATCTACCAGCAACTCAGGAGCATCAATTTTAACATTTTCCGGATCTTTTTCTTCATCATTAACAATCATAATATTGAATTTTCTATAGTTGCATACATGTCCCGAGCCAAATTTTTCACCACACTAAAACATAAATGGTTATTAGCCATGTACTGATATTCTTCATTTGTCAATCTCTTCACAAAATCAAGATTAATGATCTTATTTCATTTACCGAAATACTTAGCAGTTTCAACATTTCTATTAGAAGAAGGATAAGGCCTGTTCACCTGATAAGTAGCTAGTTTAGCGTTTCTTTGAGTAACTTCAATCCGCCTCTCCTGCAACATGGTGATCTTAAAAGCTGCATTCAAAGATGCTGGTTCCAACATTCTGACCCCCGGTTTTAATTCTTTTTTAAGCCACTCATGAAGCTGTGTATGAAGTACTTTTCTAATAACCTTGGATCTTGCATCAGCATTCTTGATCTCAATGCTTCAAACTTCACCTGATACTCCTTCACACTTCCCTTCTGAGCCAATTTGTTGAATTCTTCAACCGGATTGATCTCACTGATGTCAACAAATCTCCTCACCAGTTCTTGGCAGAATTCAGTCCGAGAAAGATTTGTCTTGACCATTCTTAGAGCCTGGAACCAAGTATCTACTTCATCATCCAGATATAACTCGATCACATCAACCTTCCGCACATCAGTAATCTGTTGAATAAGAAAAACTGCTCACATTTCCTTATCCAATCTCTTCGTTTGGAGCCGGAGAACATCGATAATTCAATTCTTCGAAGAGCATAACTAAGAATGTCGTTCATCATCGTCTTTCCTTGTTAGCTTCTTGTAGCACAGGTGGTTTATCCACGATAATGATTTCTGGTGCCCGATCACGGTGTTGACTTCCCGACGGATCCATTAACGTCGGGGGTGTAGTACCAAGAAGCCCTCTCTCAGGGTTTGAATCGTTTGATGAATCAATTGGTGGTGGATTCTTGGAATTGGCGGTTTCATATGTGGCGAAGTACTTTGCAGCGAATGCATTGAATCTGGCATCTAGCTTGGCATCAGTACCACTATTGATAGCGTCGATCTTGTCGTCCACAGCATCGATTCGTGTTCTCAATTTCGCATTCTGTAATCATAAATCATCGATCTCACGCTGTGATTTGGTTTGTGTCATCTTAACAACTTCTCAGGCCGAGGATTGCTCGGCTTTGATACCAACGTGCCAGATTTCGGGAGTAATTAAGAAATAAGGGATAGTTTTGGGTCGCCAGAGATGATAAGGTCTGCGGCCAGAATTAGTGTTCAGAGGGGAAACGACGGCAAGGGGAGCTGTTGAGGGAAAAAGTTCTATAGGGGAGAGAAAGAGGGATAACCGTCAAAGAGAAGAAACTGTATTATTGCTTAATGATGATTACAAGAGTCATTATTGGCATTTAATACCAAATCAGCCGAAATGAGAAATAATTACAAAAATAGTAATCTAATGATTGGCGTCATTATTAAGTCTGATTCTGCCTCTTCGCGAATTGCATCGACATCCTTTAACTTCCAGAAATGCCAATTAAACCCCTGGATCGTGACAGTGTCCAACTAAAAGTCCAAAATTCAAATTAACGAGTATGGCATAAGTGGACTGAAATATACTAATCATCAATTAAATGTCGGACTGCCCCAGTACTTATTGAATTACCATATCATCAAATCATATAATTATGTGGGCCATGATTATCAATTTAATTCGAGTTGGTTTCTAAAACAAAAAGGAGTATGTAATTCAAACGACATAACATTAGTTGCATACATAAAAAGATACATTCGTCCAACTCAAAATTATGTTTAGTCCCAAAGTTTCCTCTGCGGAAGAACTGAGACGACGTATTACACCAAGGTATAATCTGATCATCTTCTTCAACACAATTTTCTGATAGATTCGTAAAGTTAGTTCGGTATAATTATTTACGTGATAATAATAATTCAAAAAACATTAAGAACCACAAAAGATTTTGATTCAAAATAACGTAATTAGGAGGGCTATGCTTTTTAGTTTTTACCTTCTTCATGGACTCAATGTCATGCTTAAAGTTGCTTACCAAATACGCAATTTTGATTGTTATGCATATTAGGAACGGAAATTTAGCCTACAGGAGGGTTTTTTCAGAAATTTAGCCAAAGACGCAGTCGATCCGTACTGAACGATATATGCTTGAACTTGGAGCTGTTTTGATTAGTTATATTTTCAAGGCTTCCTTTGTATTCTACACTATCTTATTTGTTTACTTATTAGGCTTGATATTAGAACTCTCTGAATCTTATCTTGGAGTCGGAATTCCTAACACTATTATTCAAAAATTTTTAATTGAACTTGGAGATGAGTCATTTAGCTTATATGTGTGCTCATGAATCATGAAAATATCATGCTATGGTATTTACCGTAAACTTATGTTACTAACCTTGCATAAGATTAACTCTCTTTTTTCTTTTGTTTTTTTCTTTTCTGTAATGGAGTATTATATTCTTTTTAATTTGAAAGTTAAATTGTTAGTACTCCTTTAAATTCCATATATCCTTCAATCCCTTACTTTCTCTTTCAGATATGTTTTAAGAGTTCAATCATTAACAAGTAATTGAAGATTGTTTGCGATGGGGCTAAATCAGGGAGACGACAAACACAATTCTCGGTTCAAGATTTTGCTTACAGGCGATTCTGGGGTCGGAAAATCTAACCTAATGCCGAGAGTCATTTGAAATGAGTTCAACAACACCAAAGTACGCATTGATATTGGTGTTAAGGACATCCAGATTGGTGATAAAATCGTCAAGGCTCAGATTTGGAACTACCGTCCCTACCTCGGTACCTATTATCGCAAAAGCTGCCGGTGCATTGATAGTGTATGATATTACCCGTCGTGCTACATTTGAAAATGCGGAGAATTGGCTAAAGCAGATCAGATGTAACGCAGATTCTACCAAACTTGTGATTATGTTTGTCGGTAATAAGGCCGATTTGCTCCACCGGAGGTCTGTTTCACCCGAAGAGGCAAGGGCCTTTGCTGAAAGGGAAAACATATTATTCATGGAGACATCAGCATTGGAATCAATGAACGTGGAACTTGCCTTCACAAAAGTCGTAAGACAGATATACTTTGCCGAAACCAAGAAAAATATTATTGTTGGTGATGATGGATGCTCAGAAGAACAGAAAATTAATTCAGGGTATGAGGAGGACATTTCGGCTGTAGGAAACGTTGGTATTGCTTTTCTTAATTTGTAAATAAACTTTGGGTATGCCCCGTTTCGAATTAAGTAAATAAGTAAACAATCCACTTTGTTATACTAAAATTTTTTCAAAAAAACGCTGTTAGTATCGTAAAAGTTTGTTTGTTTGTATGTTTTGCTTCTTTTCCTTTGGAAAACATTTTTTTTTTAATCTTTTTACAGATCCACCACACGACACTTGGAGATCCAAATCAAAAGTTGGCTTCAATGGAGAAAGCTTTTCATGGAGGGTCTGCAAAAAGTGATGGCAGAGTTAGCGAAACTGAGGTCCCACTTTCAAGAATTTAAACATCATAAAACTTCGTCGACATTCGATCAAGTTCCTCGAAGCATTGATTTCCAAATTCCAGAATTCGACGGGACGGGCCATTCGCAAACTTACTTGGATTGGGCGAGAAAGGTTGAATTGATATTTGAAGTCTGTCACCCTAACCCTTGCGAGGTGGAAAAGGCGAAACTGGCTGCAAACGGATTCACCGGCTATGCTCTAATGTGGCGGGTTGACATGAATAAATCATGGAAGCGAAATAGCCAAAGGCCAGTTTCAACCTGGAATGAGAAGAAAATCTCGATGGAAAAGAAATTCGTTCCTCCAGGCTACTTCTCAGAGATGCATAAAAAGTTGGAAAGCATCACCCAGGGGACAGAGTGTTGGTGAGTATTTCAGGGAGATGGAGATGGGCATGTTTCGAGCTAACGCCGTGGAGGATCGTGTCGCGAAAACTGCTCGGTTCATTCGCGGTTCGAATCCCGAAATCGCTAACTTGATTCATTCGTATGATTACGTTGATGTTTAAGACATGGTGCATAGAGCTCAACAAGTTGAGAAACAACTATCATTACAAATACGAGTTGACACCCCGCCCCATCTCCTTTATCAACAAGTATCCAACCAGAAGCTCCATTTTCATGGCCCTCGCCAGTGACGACCACATTTTCACCTTCAATCCCATCCCATCTCTTGGATTCATTTAAATTAAGCCTATTATTGCTTTGTTAAAATTCAATTTAGCTAGATTCGGATGTAAAATTCCCTCCCCCCACCTTTTTTTTTTTCTCACAAACAGAAGTTCATAAGGTTCCACCTCAAAATCAATTGGCAATAAGGGGAGTAGCCTATGAAGCTTATACATTGATACTCACTGTCTTCCAACACCAATTTGGGATTGGGATTCTTTAATGCTTCCTCGCAAGCCCATCGTATTTTTGGGTTGGGCTTGTCCTATTTCTTATTCAGCCCAGGCACGCCTCATGTCCTATTTTTTTGTTGGGTCTTTTGGACTCCGAATGTCGACGGGCTGGTATAGAAGCTCATGGGGTTCCACCTCAAAACCAATTGTCAATGAGGGGAGAAGTCAATGTTTGCAGGATCGTGATCCTACGTAGGATCGAAATGGAGTCACATGATCGGATCGTAAATAGAATCGATAGAATAGGAATAATAAAATCGTAATTAATTTTTGAAATCAATTATATATGTTACATACATTTAACTGTAAAATCATCTCTTTGCAGACTTAGTTCAATACTACGATATACACATACTTACCAAATGACAACACAACTATTATGTTACTTTATAGTCATATTTTACTTATCTTCACCTAAAATTCCCTATCTTTTTTAAATGAAAACCCTTGCCATCCAAGACCACACGCCAAAAAAAAAAGGTAAAAATAAAAAAAAAAATCAAATAAATTTGACCCTTTCGGTCAAATACTCAAGATTCTCTCAGTCGACCACCACTTTCTTCTCCGGCCGTTTTCCTGAAAAACAGAGGAAACCGTTTTTAGAGCCAACAAATGCACCAAGAATATAGCCATGGAAATGGGGAATCTTTGCAATTGTGGCCAATTTTTTTGTACCATCATGCTCTCTAAGAATTCAAAATCTTCAAATTGCAGTCTTATCTTTTATTATTTTCTTCTCGTTTTTCAGAAATTGAAAAATTGTAGCCTGGTCGGAAAAATTGAAGGGATTGTCCGATTCTACGAGTATGGCCCAACCGATCCTTGACCGATCCCAATACAAATTACGATTCTAATCGATCCAAGATCGATTTAGTGACCCGATCCTACGATCATGGATCGCGATCTTGCATACTATGGGAGTAGCCTATAGTGCTTATATACTGATACAATGTCTCCAGACACCAATGTGGGATAAGTACTTCAATACTCCCCCTCAAGCCCAATGGGTTTGGACTAAATCACAAGGGTTAGAGTTTAAACCGTAGAATAACATTACGGGCCACGGAATAAAGTCGCGGACTTAAATTGGGCCATGGAATAACATCATGGGTTTAAAATTACCACAGGCCGACCCCGCACTGATACCATATAAAAGTCAATGAGGTCCACCTCAAAACCAATTGGCAATGAGAGGAGTAGCACATGGTGCTTACATACGGATATCAAATCTCTCCCACCACTGATGTTGGATACTCAATACTCCCCTGTAAGCCCAACACTTCTTCTTGGGCTGGGTTTGTCTATTTTTTCTTCAGCCCAGTCACCACCTCACGTCTCAGCCCTACCAGTTCTATCACATCAGGCTTGTAGTCCGACTCTTTGTGGGCTGACTCTGATACCATATAGAAGCCTATGGGGTTCCACCTCAAAACCAATTAGTAATGAGGAAAGTAGCTTATAGTGCTTATATACTAATACAAAGTGTCTTCAGACACCAATATGGGATTATTAACGTTCTAGACCCCTAAAGTTGTTACAGTTGTTATCATGGATTTAAAAATTTTTTTTCCCCACCTTATATGGCAACCGTTGGTTTCATTCCTTTCTTTTTGGAGAGCTCAATTGAGTTTATAACAATTTAGTTTGGGATCACGATAAT